TTTGTAAGACAAACTAATTAGTTGGCCTTTACCCCGAAAATAATACACAATGTCACTATGGAATAGAGAAAATAATATACTGATATGTTCTTAATGATAAGCAGCATAAGCTCTTCATCACAATATCTTCAGTATTTGCTTATATATTAAAAGGGTATGTCCTGTCTATTACGACTAAATACATGTTTAATATACCTTCCCTGACTCAGATGTTTTAGCCAGCTCAAAATGATAGAATAAAATGCTAAAATTCTAATAAGGTATGGGAGTTAAGAAGCACTTCCATTCAATATATATTTTTTCAGTGCTGTATTTCCTGTAGAGAGATTTTTATCCAGCCACTTCTAAATGCAAACTGAAATACTAGCTTATCAGGCTGGATTTTCATAAGGCCTAGGTCTACAAGTGCTGAGTATTACCACTTTGTAGTTAATTTGGTCATTATAATGGGTGCTTTATTCTTGGCTGCAATGGTTTTTAATGTTTGTATTTTAAGGTTAGGGTATTTTAATTCTTTAATTTTTAAATTTTTGTCTGCTGCCCATAGTCATTTTGTAAGGTGAACAGCATTATTAAACATTTTTGCATTCTGTATACTAGATGCATCAGGCAAGGTTGATGAAGTGAATGTACAATAAATGTAAAATATTCTTTCAATAAAGAATACTGCATTATAATTCACCCCAAGGTGTCATTGACAGTTGATTATTATTATTATTGTTGTTGTTATTGTTGTTATCATTTCAAATGAACTAACAAAAATTAATTGGCAATAACCTATTAAAATTTAAGAAATAGAGCTAGTGCAGTCTCTTAAAGTCACAAAATCACAATGCTGCTACATTTTGGAACATTCCAATTTCAAAATAGAGTAGGTAATTAATGCAACAATTAGCCCTGACTTATTGATAACTATATATACAAATGTTCCACATCCAACCTGTTCTCAAAGACAGCCTGTGGGCTGTGGCTCTTCTAGGAATATTTCAGTGTTATCCTTGCTGCTCTTCATGAGTTTTTTCCATTGCCATTCCATTCTGTTCCCCTGAGCTAAGCATAGTCATTGTTTTTAGGCCATTATCACTCACACCCAAAATAAATGAATGACTTATTGGTAGTCATGTTCTGAAATTGCCCCAATCTAACTAAAATGTCATTTTAAACAAAGTTTGAAATTTTCATCCAAAATGAACTTAAAAGATTCGGTACTTAAGGATATATTATTTAACATTGTAGAAGAAAATTATAGATAATGATAGTACATCTGTTTATTAATCAAATTTATTTCTTGTTTTGTCTGCACAGAGGTAGAAAATACCTTGGTAATATATAAATAAGAAAGGCAAATGCTACAAAGGATTCAAGATGATCCCTTAAATTCAGAGGCCAACTGAAAACGAGTGCTAATATGTGCACAATTTTGTGCCACATATTCAGGTATAGTTAAGACTATTGTATATTTATTTGTCTAGAATGTCACTGTTCTACTGCATAATTTTAATCTTTGGCTCAGAAATAAAATAGAGAAACAATTCCATACAATAACCACTGAATTTCCAGATATGTCATTTATAAATATATTGTATATAAATGCCAAAATATTGTTTTGTTGGAGAGAGGAAGTTCCAGAGAAATGGATCAGGATTGGAGCTTCATTGAAAATTAGAATGGACTAGTTTCAGTCCTACTTGCTTCATGCCAGAGAAATAAAAGTCTAATTTGGATTACTGCATTTGTTCCCTGGGTAATCCAACAAAAAATAATAATGAATGGAAAGAGAAAAGGAGCTGTAAAGATAGAAAATCCCTGGTGCTTCCTATAATATTGTTATGAGGCTGACACCCTTCCATGCTTAGTGTTATTTTGCACCATTCATTAAGTAGAGGATGCAAATATTGCTACTAAATAGTATAAAAATGGTGACACTGTATAAAAGAGTAGGTCATGCTTACAGTTTTTTTTTCACAGATCCTACACAGTGTTTCATTATTTTAAATAAATTATTCATGGGCAGCTAAATGCTCCTTCATAAACATGAACTTAACGTTAATGGAATAGAAATTACCGCAGCATTATATCCATTTCCAATACAGCCAGGGCTAATGAGTCTCCTGCTTCTTGTAAGAGATACTGATATGTACGGTAGTTGTGGGAGTTGCTTAGTAGAAATATTCTGTTTTTGTCTTTTACTTGATATGGTTGCCCTTGGAGCTAGTACAGGTACTCCTCACTTATCTAATGCAATTGGGACTGGCTAAGTGATGTGGTCATTAAGTGAAAGCCATGTGACTTTCCAGCTGTGGTCATTAATCACTATGGGTCACGAAGCATATATTTTCATATAAAATTATATGAAATGTTATCTTTTAGCTATGTTTTATTATCTTTAAAACAAGCAGAATACATTGTAGACAACTGGTAACAACTATATAATGCTTGTAAAAAATGTTGTTGGATCATTTAATCCTTCTATAAAGCTTTTAGAAAACATGTTGAAGGGATGTACTTTTTGCTGGCTGACATATTTGGATTTTGTCCAGACTAGGTGCATTCTATTAAAACAAAGGAAATGATTTCAGACAATTCTCTTGGCTGAGCGAAGCTACTGTAAAAATAGTTGCTAGCTGTCATTTAAGTGCTAGATGATACTCCCTGGGAAGATTTCCTCCTAGCATGGGAAGGGTCAGGAGTACCATTTGGGTAACATTTTCTCAGATGATTAAAAACTCTGCAATTTGGACAGGAAATGGTAAAAAGCCGCTATTTAAGTTTTTTTCTTCTTGGGAATCACTGTAGGATATTGCATGAAAATACTTTTGGTTTAGATGCATTTTACTAGGTAGGTTCTATTCTTGCAGTAACATTTTTTTCCACTTGACTCATAGGAGAAACTAAACTTCTAAATCTATATTTGGTAATAATATATACTTTTATCAGAATGGATAAAAGGATAAAAAATTTAAAGAGTGATGAATTTTGTCTATCATCAGATCCAGCTGTACTTAAATCCTTAGTAAGTAGGAAATGGAAAGATATGCGAAGTAGGCTAGAGGAGAAAGAATTTCTATCTAGGATGAAATTTGGTAAAGCTATTTTAAATATGAACAGTTTGGATTTTTTTTAAGTACATTGTTTTTAAGAGTACTATTTTTAATTAAATAATGCTGGAATGAGTATACATACATAATTTACACATTAACTTTCATAAATCTTTTGTGCAAAATAGCTTCCAACGTCTTCAACAAACTTTGATTGTATTTTATTTATATATTGATAAGATTATAATATTAAGATATACTTCAGAAATGTTTAAAATAGCATTAAGTATAGCAATCTCAGGAACACAAAACAGATAGTTTCCACTTACCAACTGCCTCTTCTAGTAACTGTTCAAAGTTACAACAGTGCTGAAAAGTTTTACAACAAATGCCCACATTTACACCCTTTACAGTGCCCCTCAGTCACATGGCTGCCATTGAAGTCAGTATGCATTGTCCTGTGCTTGACCTGTTGTTTTTTTCTCCCCTGGCAGAGAAGAGAGATGGAGAGGAAGGGATTACAAGAGAGCAAGCGAGCACACCACAGGAAATACACCAGGCTGACGGCACTAGCATATTGCTTTCGTATTTCCCCACTGGGTGCCTGCTTACTCTCTTGTAATCCCTTCCTCTCCAATGAATGTAAATACAAAACATTAATGTCCTCCTAGTTGATTATCCCAGCATGTGTATGCATTCCAAAGGGAGAGTGTGGATGATTTCCCACTTAGCAACTGCTTTGCTTAATGACAACTGCAGTTTCCAATTGTCACTAATTGAGGACTGCTTGTGTTTAAAAAAATCATGAATTGTAGGAGTGTCTGAGAATGGTTCATCATTATGAGAACAAGTGCAGTCTTCCAGTCTGGGCTCCATCCTTCCCTGGCCCTTAAGTCCCTTAAGTAGAATGTATGATTGACAACTAAATGCAATTTGACTGAAGAATAATAGCGGTTAAGAAATGTCTTAAGCCAATTATATAATATGATTAATACTTTCCCTGGGTTTTCTGACTGTTCAGAAAATCAGTATTAAAAATATCAACAAGTATGTGCGTTTGTTTGTTAGGTCTGGCATCTGCTAACTGGTACACAGTTCTAGTTTTCCTTCATATCCTCTATCACTGACACTTTTTTAAACTTTTGCTTTTAAGGCTCTGGAGTTTGCTCTCTGGTTAATTCATCATCTTCTGTTGATTTAATTCACTTTCCAATAAAGACGAACAGATATTCTGGAGCTGACAAAAGTACAGTATCCATTTCCAACGCTTTAATAAACAATATAAAAAGTATAAATTGAAACAGTAGAAATTATGCTAACATAATTTGTGTCTAGTTACTATAGCAACCAGACAGACGGGCGAACAGCCGACAATATGTAGTCTGACATTATAAATTAGGATTTATATTGATTCCTTTTTTAAATTATGAAATGTTTAATAGCACATTAAACATAGGTTAGGCATAAGTGGGTTCTAGGAGGAGAGAGTAAGAGAGTTAAAATAAGTGAAGAAGCAAAGTTGCTGAAGTTATGGAAGAATTAGCAGGATCAGTGATTACAAGCAGAGGAATATCATAACTTTGGTGATCACAATTAGGAGATTATTATAAAAGGAAAGAAGAATTGGATGAGGCAACGTAGAATTATTTAAACTCAGAACAGTATTAACCTGAATTTTAAACCTTAAATTTTATAGCATGCAGCATGCTAGTTGCTATTAGAAACTGGCTTGTCTATCACTAATATATAGAGCAAGGATTCTTTTGGGGAAAGCAATGAGAGTAATTGTGACATTTATAGAAATGTTGGTTTCTGGCTATGATTTTTGGAGTCTGACTGCAGCGTTCATGTCCTCAGCATTCTGATGAGATTTTATTCCAGAGTGAGATACCTTTTTCCAGGAGCAAAATATAAAAATTGGAATATATTGGACTCTGGAGCAAGGCAGAAATTTAAGAGTTATGGGAGATGTTGCTGTATCAGTCATTAGAAAAGAAATTGAAGATGATTCTGAATATATATTTAATAGTCATCATAATAAACCTTAGATACGACTCAAGAAGAGCATGATGAGACTACTAATCTATGTAAGAAAAATGCTTCCCAAGCAAAGCAAATATACAAATGTACTAGGACAAAATAGCTGTGCAAACATCTTGGCCCATTGAGAGCTTTTGGAATGTTCAGCAACAATAGATTGCAAGACAAATTGCATTAAGATATGCTGTAAGTATTTTAAATAGACTGATGTATGCCTTTCTAAATGAAATCAAATGTGTTTTCCCTCATATAATGAAATATTCACATTGAACCAGGATTTATATAATAACTTTGTACATGTAGCATTAGTTCTTGTCTCTTCCAATCTCTCACACATATTTTCTCTTTTTTTGGCTTTCTGCCTGTGAGTAGTATCTTTCTATTGACTTCATTCTAAAATGCACTTAAACGTTTTGTGATTTAACTTTATTTAATCAGAAGAAAAATAGCATTAATATCAATCCACAGTGGATAGAGTCAAAGTAATAGATTTCCAGATTCTTTTTCAACTGCGTCTTAAACTAAACCTCTTTCAACCCCACCCAGTGAATCACATCTGCATATATGGGTAACTGGAATAACACTTTTATTATGCTGATGAAATAGGGTGTCGTTTATGAAATATAATAGTAAATTAAATTTGTTTTCAATAATCACGAAAGATTTTCTTTTTGTGAGCATGGAATGCACTTTTTCTATGTCAGTATAAGCTAACATGTTAAATTATACTTAGATGTTAAAAATAGTCTAAATGTGTTAGAAAATATCTGACATCTATTCAGGCTATTCCACAAGACCAAGGAAAAGGCAACCTTCATATAAAATGGTTGTATCCAGAATGTAGTATAGATGGTCCTCATTGAGTGACTGCCTTGTTTAGTGGACATTCACAGTTACAAAGATGATGAAAAAAGGAATTATGCCCATCCTCGCATTTACAACCTTTGCAGGTTAAAAGCTGAACTAAGGTCATAAGTACAGTTGCAATTGGTTTTCATACAGCTCTGGGTAATAACAGTATTGCAAAAACTTCATGTATCACTAAATAAGTCCATAAATCATGTGGAGCTCAAATTAGACATTAAGAAAAAATGTTTAAAGATATTTATTATACTGTGCCCTTTTGTTATTTGCATGTACTTGTGCTGTTTTTTCTACAATGCAAGATGTTTTCCTAGAGTCCAAATCTTAACTGGTCATTCTGTAATTTTGCTCTGATAATGAACCATAGCTTCTTTTTTTTTTCATTAGAAATGCTGATGAAAGGCCGGGTTCTTGTAAAAGCTTTTTATTGCTCTGAATAGTGATTAGCTAGCTGTACCGAGAGCTGTCAGGGATGAAGTTTAATGCCTGCAGAGCATTCTGGAACATGCCAGTACTAGGAAACTCCTCCCAAACAGTGGAAGAAAAAAAGTATTCATTTTCTTCAGTTGAATTAAAAACAAAATTAAGATATGTATTGGCCTGAAATATCTATTGATAGAAATTGATAAGATAATTTTGCATTGTCGGATGACTTCAGCACTACTTGTCTATATTGCACACTAAATGAATCAAGTCTTCCTTTAAGGGCAGGCTTTTGCAGCAGAGTGCATTAAAAACTCATGTCTAATAGGTGCATTCATTTTAATAGGCTCATTCATTGAGCTAGCCTGATTAATTAGTGCATGTCACCATCTGGTATTTACTGAGACCATTCATTTTTAGAATACTGAAATTGCAGGGAATATTGCACACCAATTAAGTTCCTTTTAACTGGATTGTGTTAGTATACAGTATTAGTGTGGGAGGTTTTCTTTGTGCTGCAGCCAGCATGCCTCTGAAGGAACCTGGCAGCCTGAAATTTAAAACAGAGGAGAACTAGTCCCTTAAAATGCATAGTGGGTAGAAAGAGGTACTGTGTATATTGTCTCTTGAACAAATGGACAGTTCCAAGAGAACCAAACATAAGGAATTGTATAGAGACATACTGCCAAGCCTTTTTTCCTAGGTTTTCCATGATGTTATGATTATCAAAAGAGTAGCCTGATATTCTTTGCTTTGTCTTCATCTGTAGCATAAAACAAGTCTCAGCAAGTCTTTCCCTGTACATTAGTTGTAATGCAATGTGTTATAGATATGATTGGCCACATTCAAAATTACTTTGGGGAACATTGCAGCGAGACACTATAAAAGATCAAAGGGAAATATTAAAAATAAGGATAGTTTTCTTTTGTTCTTGCATAAGCTTTAGATTATATAACCAGTAGGTTTCAGAGTAATATTGCAACATGCCATGCTGCTCTCCGGACGTGCATTTCTGGTGCTTGGTAATTGGCAATTGCATTTACAACTATTGCAGCATCCTGCTGTCCCGTGATTGCATTTTGTGACCTTTTTTGTTGTTTTCCAGCAAAAAACACCCATTGGATAAGCTTATGACCACACAATTCACTTAACAACCACATGATTTGCTTAATGACTTGTTAAGCAATGACTTGCTTAACAAACATAAAAACAGTTACAGAATTGAGTTCGATCACGAGATGACTTGCAATCAAAATTCCGGACTCAGTTGTGATTGTAACTCAAGAACTACCTGTATCACTCTTTGAACAAAGACAGAAATTCATTAAGCAATTTTTTTAAAGATTATAAGATGCCCTCCAATGAAATATTATGCAAAGCTTTTCTAGTTATGTTACAGCTCCACCTGGTGTTCAGTAAAAATGCTTTCCATCTTCTGTAATTAGCTTGACATGTAGCATTTACACAAACTTACAGACCATTATTCCTATTGACTATGTATTAACATGAACATTTGCCCTTGTACTTTTACTGTATTTGAAAATATAACTGGTTACCTATAAAAACATAGCTGTTTTATCTCACAGCATCATTATGGAATAGATTAAGCTTAAACTTAGCTCCTATTTTGTCAGTAAAAAGATCAACTAATGAAGTTGAAAAGATCAGCTCCTTGAGTGGCAGTGTGTACATTCACTTCTCACTGATTTTTGATATCTCTCTCTTACTTTCCTAGGATGAACCAGATTTGATTATGCAAGCAAGACAGCATTAAAGTAATAAGGAATGATCTTACCAAGCACTGAACAATCTTTAACCTCAGAAAATGTCTGCTTGCAATGCCTTCACTGAACATGTGTGGAAACCTGGTGAATGTAAAAATTGCTTCAAGCCAAAAAACTTGCATCAGACGCCTCCAGGCCCTGAAAAAGCTCCAGTTTCAAATTCAAATATAAAAACCAATGCAATTCACAGCAACCAGCATAATAAGAATACAGGAAATTTTCGGCCACCTGTGGCAAAGAAACCCACCATCGCTGTGAAACCCACCATGGTGACAATAGATGGACAGGGTATGTGTGGTGAAATCACCTCACAAGATCTTTGTGAGAACAAACCAGCTCTTGTAGGTTGGAATCAAAATATAACTGCTTTGAAGAAAAAGCCATTGAATAATAACAACAATAATGAAGAAGAGGAAGAAGAGGAGGTTGAAAATTACAGTCATATTCATAGATCTTTTGGAAATAACGATGATACAGATAAAGCTCCAAGCAACAATAATGGACTCACTGATGTATTGAAGGAAATTGCCGGCTTAGATCATTCAACTTTCCTAACAAGAAATGAAATTAATTCAAGGGAAGTATTCTTGGGACGAATAAACACTTGTTATAAGAAGTCATTAGAAAGAAAGGTCCCTCCAAGTTGCCTGATGGATGGAACAAAGTCACAAAATAAGCATGTTGTTTTGAGTGGAACCACTGCTGTCATAAGCAGTGAGGGTGGCCGTTTCTGCTACCCTGAATTCTCCAGTGGAGATGAAAGTGAGGATGACCTGTTTTTTGGCAGCATCCATGATGATCATGAGAGCTGGGATGAAAGTGACGAAGAGTTGCTAGCAATGGAAATTCGCATGAGGGGACAGCCACGTTTTGCTAATTTTAGGGCGAATACGCTGTCACCTGTTCGATTTTGTGTTGACAAGAAATGGAATACAGTGCCTTTAAGGCATAAGTCTCTTCAGAGATTTTGTGCAGTAGACTACGATGACAGCTATGATGAAATTTTGAATGGCTACGGAGATGACCCTGTAATCCTTTTTGGACCAGAAGGCGTTCAGAGCATGGTTTCATCCGATTCTATGTCCCCTGATTCTTCTCTGACTGAAGAATCTCATTCCGGAACGGCCAGCAGTTCTTCCCAAAAGCTTTGCAATGGTAGAGTGTCTCCTAACAGTCCTAAAGGTAGCAGATTAATGGGAGGAGGAGGAGGTGATAACAGGTTTTCTGATGACCAGCAAGTTAAAGTTTCAATTAAAAACACTCAAAACACTACCCAGATTGTAGAGACCCACAAAGCTGTGCTTGCTGTTAGACTAGAAGAAAAAGATAGCAAGTCTGCTATCCCCAGTGATAAGCAAGAATGGAAAAGTTCCTTAAATACACCAGTTCAGACAACAACTACAAATTTGATCCCCGTGGAAGAACAAGCAAAGCCTTACAGAGTAGTAAATATGGAACAACCAGTGTGCAAACCTTATACAATAGTGGATGTATCAGCAGCCATGACACATGAAAGTATAGAGAATCGGGCAAAAAACCTGGATACCAGATACATTCGGTCTAACCCAAATTCACCAGATCCCCTCAGTACAAATGCTATACCCCATTCTGTGTCATGTGGGCAAGTAACTCCTAATCTTAAAAAATCCAACACTGCCAGATACCAGGAAGTTTGGACTTCCAGTACAAGTCCGCGACAAAAAATCGCCAAAGTGGAATTAACTGCCAATGTTCCAGGACCTTCTGTTCCTGTAAGGAGAAATATCCTTAAATCGGCTCCCACTTCTCCTACGTCAACACACATTTCTACAAAAACAATCCCGGTCAAGTCCCCTAACTTGTCCGAAATAAAATTCAACAGCTATAATAATGCCGGCATGCCCCCCTTCCCGATTATTATTCATGATGAGCCAACTTATGCTAGATGTTCCAAAAATGCCATCAAAGTTCCTATTGTAATCAATCCCAATGCATACGACAACCTGGCCATCTATAAAAGCTTTTTAGGCACGAATGGAGAGCTTTCCTTTAAAGATAAGACCACTAGTATCATCAGCCATACATATGAAGAGATAGAAACAGGAAGCACCGTATCTGAAAATATACCTACTAGGTCTGCAGAATTACCCCAAGCGAAAGGTTCAGGCAGTAACACTGAGAGGAGGCTGGGCTCTGTAGCTCAGAAGGTTCAGGAATTCAATAGCTGCCTTGGAAAAGGTCAGGCTTCACCCAAGATGTCTTGTCGTGGCTCTCCAACAAAAATACAAAGAACGTTTCAGGAGTCTTCAGCTGAAGTAGACGATAATCAGGAAATATCTAATGGCGGTCGGGAAAATGCCTGTGCAGTACTGTCACAGATTGTAGCATCAATCCAACCTCCACAATCTCCCCCGGAAGCCCCTCAGGCTGGCCCTAAGTCTTGCAGCGTTGAAGAACTCTACTCCCTGCCTCCTGATGCAGACCCAGACAAGAGCACCTCATTGCGACCAAAATCCCTTTTTTCAGTGCAACCTCACCCTAATGCTGAGGGAATCAAATCCACGGAAGTTGCGTCCAAGGAAATCCCTTCCAAATCCCCAATCGTGCAGCCTTCAAAACCCATGGCATTGTCTCCGAGTCCCAAAACTGAACAGGCTCCCCCTTTCCCACCTCCACGATCCACCTCTTCACCTTATCATGCCAGCAAAGTGTTGCAAAAGCATTTCGGCAACTGGAGCAAGCCCCTGAGCCCATCTAGATCCACTGAGGCTGAATCCGTTTTGCATTCAGAAGGTAGGCGAGCGGTCGATGCCAAACCAAAGAGATGGATATCCTTTAAGAGCTTCTTTCGCCGCAGAAAGACCGAAGAAGAGGAGGACAGAGAAAGAGAGAAGGGGAAACTTGTGGGTCTTGATGGAACTGTCATTCATATGCTTCCGCCACCTCCTGTCGAACGTCACAATTGGTTCAGTGAATCCAGATCAGATTCCAGTGAGAAACCATCCGTTGTTTTTATGTTTAAATGTGATCAGGCAAAGTTGGAAACAAAAACCAATCTAACCAAAACTGAAGTAGAGCCCACCATTGAAGTCATAACAGCAGTGAGGGGAGAGACCGAAAATCATCCGGAGACACCGGAAGAAAGCTTAAAGAGTCACCCCTCTTCACCCCAACTTCCAAAGGAAATTCTCAGGTAAAATTTAAATCACTAATTGGCCACTGTATGTTTTTCTCTAGATACAAGCAGAAGACCATGCCATTCCTCAATTTGGAAAAAAATAAGTTTGATGGGCTTTAAGGAGTAAAACAATTATTGTGGGAGAAGCTTTCATATAATAGGATATTTTATCTACTTGTGAAGTTCACTCACCATCACCACCGCCACCCAAAAAAACCAAAAAACATGCAAGATAATATGTCACGATATGCTTCTGCTGCTTCTGTGGCCCAGAAGCTTTTGTAAATAGCTGGTGTTTTGTCTCAGTTTATTCTCCTAATGGAAACAAATTGATTTAGGTGGCTAAATGCAGATGAGAAAGACAATTGACCATAGATAGGGCTATCTCCAGTAAGGACTTTTGGAAATAGAGGAGAGAAAAGGAGGTTAACCTCAAAATCTGTAACTTAACTATGTTACTTTACTATAAATATGGATGATGTTTCTGGCCTATATGCAGATGTTAAAACAGAAGTCTGGAATTTCAAAATACAGGCTTGCTTTTAAAATTTTGCTTTCTGCCTTCTTTACGCATCCTTCTCAATTAGATTAGGAGTGTATTTCATATATTCAGTGATGGCTGATCTACCTGTAAATGCTGCTTCATTTAAAACATATTTTAGAGACAAATTTTTCAAGGCTAGAAATATTAGATTGCCGTTTAATGAAGTGGAGCCTTCCTGTGTCTACATACAGATTTATTGCTTGTTATCCTCAGTATTACGAGTAGACAATGTAAGGCTTTCTGAGAATGAAGAACTTGACAGAACTCATACTTTATTTTTCAAATCTTCCTGAACATTCCCACTTTTTTTAAAAAAATGCTGCAAAGTTAATATCTTAAAAGGAATAAAGGAGGAAAAGCATAGATAACTAGGATTACATCACTGTGACATATCTTTATAGGGTAAAGCATTGTTTTCCTATGGTTTAATGTTACAGTTCCACAAGAGGCAAAGATAAAAAGTTATTAATTAATGCAAATTAAAGCTGATACCTAGCAGCATCCCAGGTAACTAACTTTTACAAGTAATCTTTTTTTTCCTGTTTCTCAAGAAACATTCATTCTTTCTAATACATCAGTGACACCCAATACTTTATACGTGGCTGGATGGATTTTGAATCAAAGATCTAGAATAGCACCTGAAATAGATACATGATTTTGCTTGGAGGATGGCAGAATTGGTTCTGTGTCGAAGCTACAGAATAGTAATTGCCAAGCATTCTGCCTAGCCAAGAAACCTAGATAGTCTGTCATGCAAAATCTGTGCATTGCAGTTAATTTGGGGAGTGGGGGGAATCAGTCTGGCTAAGGGCAAAAGATAAATTGCAGTTTTCCAGTTTGCAGTTATCTGATTTGTGTTATACTATGAGGAGGGGAATGTTGGTTTATGGTAACAGGTCATATGTTGATGTGGGTCATAAAGATGTAATAAATGTGACTTTATTGGTTTAGTAGAAATGGAATACCTTTATTGTCAAAAAAATAATTGGGTCTTGTTAAACAGATGAGTTTAGGCGTCACTGTAATGGTACCCCAACAAGAGAAGAATTCTAGAAGTGTATCAAGGAGATAGTGAGGGGAGTCATATGTAACATATTCTTTTTAACTGGAAAATAATCAAAATATTGTTCCTTGTAACAACTTTATCTGTGTAGTTGCTAGGAGTTGAAAACAACTTGAACACATAATCAGTCATCACCTAGAAGTTTCCCTGCATTAACAGGAATATAAAGGAACTCCTGATGCTGCTTCTTGAGCCACATTTCTTTAATTGCTGTGCCTAATGCCAGTTTAAAGATATATACTGTATTTGGAATATAAGATGCACTGGACTATAAGACGCACCAAGATTTCAAAGAGGCAATTTTTTTTTAAAAAAAAATTTTGCACTCTGCAGAGCTCCCAAAAATGGGAGTTTGCAAAAACTGGCCCATTTTTTGTCAAAAAAAAAAAAGGGGGCATGCATAGCCTTTAGGAGGCTTACAGAGTGCCTGTTTTTATAAACAGTCTGTTTTTTACCCATTTTTACCCTCCCCAGCCCCCAGGAGCACTCTATAAGCCTCCTAAAGGCTATGCATGGCCATTTTGGTGAAGGGGCGGGGTTTCAGGAGGCAAAAAATGCTATATTCAGTGTATATGATGCACCCAGATTTTCAGCCTCTTTTTTGAGGGAAAAAGGTGTGACTTATACTCCAAAAAATATGGTATATGACTTTTCTGATCTCTAAATCTTTCAGTTGTTTATACTTAGAACTTACTGTGTTGTTTGTGAATTTTAGTACATTCAACTTCTTGAAATCTCTGTGCCAAATAATTTGGAGCATGGCATTTTCAGATAGGGCCTGAAAGAAAGAAGAATCAGAAAGAAAGAACCAGTTTGCTTGCTGTTTATTTACAGGCGCCTACATTTTCATCAGGACGCTTACTCTTGTGCTGTTCCTAAGGAGATGGTGTGATTTTGTTTCTATGACCATCTCGCCTCTCCGCTTTCTATTACTGCTTTCCCTTTTGTTCCACTACTTCTCTTTCCAAAGAATTGCTGCTACCAAAAAAAGACTGCGCAAATCTTGAGCTACTTGGTATAGTGCCTAAAAATTTGAATGAGATTTAATTTCATCCCTAAAATGCTGATGCAAACACAAGCTCAAACTAATAGATTTGATTTTATTCCAAAAGTGATACTGTAAAGGCTTAGGTCCAAATGAATCTATAACTACCCAAATACCCTTTATTTTACCTTTTGCATAACAGATGTCATACCACTTGAATTCTCCTAAATTATAAGAGTGCTTTGCATAAAACTGGCACAATTCTGATTATGATACCTCTGCATCCAACAACAATTAGGGTGATTTTTTTTTGTTTTGCAATTTTACAGCTCTTGTAAATCAGCCCCTTATCTACAGTTTCCAAGTTCCCTTACCTGATCAGCTGTTAGCTCTGCTGATAGCCAAACCACCAATTTACTTCTTAAATCAGCCCACAACTTTCCTCAGCCACTGTGTTAACTATCTCAAACTATTTGTAATTTCAAAAAATAGGTTTTTGTGCTATAATCTACAAGCCATTGTAGCATCCAGATATAAATCAGTAAAATCAACCTGGCCCAGTTACGCCCCCAGACCTTTATGGCTAAGCAGGAATGTCAAAGATTGACATTCCGTCCATTCCATAACTTCAGAACACCCAGTTTGGGATTTTATTGTTTTGCATCTTGAGGTGTGATATAGAATTGGCTGCATTGTTTTAAAGAGAACCAGACATGATGTTTCTTTTGTCAACGCTGCTTATTGAAGGGCAGTTTATTTTTTAAAATTATTCAGGAAAATAATAGTGATATCGTCTTATCAATAGAAATTAAGAAATACAATTCCTGTGTATGTTCTTTCCTCTTCTGCCCTTATACATCTAAGCGGTAATATGTTTGCAATTAATTCAGATTTGTTTGGCCTGCACATTCAAGCTGAGTAAAATACATTAGATCTTGATGAAAATATAACTTTCCTTCAGTTTCCTTTATATAGTTGCACTGTAGAAGCAAGGAGCAGATTAATATGTCTTAAGTGTTCCTTTCTTTTTTCATTTCCTTCCTTCAAAAGGATTCTGAAACTTAAGAAATACTTGGTAATAGCATTTTTCCTACTTTAATTTATTTTATTTAAAATGAGAGAATTCTGCCCTGTTGTGCAATAGGATCTGAGTAATTGCATACTTGTCTTACAACTGCATTCTCATAATGGGGGGGGGGCGGTTATATACCTGTGAGCAACTAAAATACTATGTTTTTTCTTCCATTAGCTCAGCTCCTTTATTGGCCCAATTCCAAAACAGGTCAATTACCACAGTTTTAAATAAATCTATCTTTGTTCCAGCGTTCTCCAAATGAAGAGTAAAAATGTGTAAGGTGTGCATGGTATTCTGTAGTAAGGAAAGGGTTAACGAAGCAAGCTTGCACTTTGCTTATGCTAGCCTTTCTAAGGTGTTTTGGCACATTCCCCAGACCTACCCCTGAAGGTAAACATCAAGGTGCAGGAGGTGATATCATTCTGTGCAGACTTCCGTCTTTGTTGCTCACTGCTTTGCACAACTTATAGCTCACCAGACCCCAGTGGAATAAATGCTTCACCAGAGTTTCGAGACATGATTAAAAGGCTCAAGAAGGCTCTGAGAGAATTTCCTTTAATGGGGAACTGTGTGAGTGAGTATAGTGGGTGAGTGTCTCCTTTTGGTTTACCTTCTCAGTTGATGAATTTACTTTGGTGGCACACTTCTCAAAAAAGCAGACGAAAGAGATTCACGTCCATGGGAACTAGAAACGACGACTCTGTTCTAAATGTATCAATCCAGGCAAATTTATTTACAGAGATTACTATTCCATAACAGGAATTCTTCCTTCAAATTAAGCAGCTGTTAAGTGGGGTTGTTTTGAATGGAGCCGCTAGAGTGGAGTTAATTGAGAGCAAAGAGCAAAGTTTGTTAAACGGAAAGCATTTTCCATACCTGCAATTCCCAAAGTGAATTTACAACTCCACGGTTTTTAAGGTTTGAATGTGCAAAATTACTTGGGCTAACCTTTTAATGGTTTCACTTTTTGTGTAATTTGTTATGTTTACACTGTTCTGCCGCATGTTAATAAAATATCAACACTGATAATAAGATGAGACTTTTTAACTTCGCCTTTTTATCAGGACTAACTTCTGTGGATGACTTTATGTCAGCATTATAAAATTTCTTGAATGTGGTAATGTACATGTGTATTGATAGTGTTATTGTGTTTGGTCGAAACTGCAGAGGTACTAAGTATTTTTAATATTGCAAGATGTTCAGCTGGAATCTGGGACTCTGACCAGTCGTGTTCAGTGATGAGGTCTATATTCTTTATTGTAAATCCTGTGTAATGTTTGTAAGGCACATTAACTCTTCTAATTTAATTGACACTCTTTTGTCTTTGTTCCACGCTAAGTTTCTAAGTGTGGCATAAATAACTACAACTGCTATCATTGTTTGTGCAGTTTAGAATGCTTGCCTTATGTATTTTAAAGCATTCTCGAAACTCTTCTGGTTGGTTTGCTTTTTTAATTTCCTTTAACACAGTTCATTAAAGATAACTGACATTTGCCAGGCAGGTGAACTATATATACCTTGCTTTTGTTTCAGTCAAGTGCCTGATGAGAAAACAAAACCTGTGGAAAATGTGTCCCCTCCAATTCCAATTTCTGCATTTGAAAAGCAGGATGTTGACAGCCCTACATTCCACACCCCAGAAATATTACAGTTGGAAGATGAGAGAGAAGAAATGTCTGATTCTTCTGACCTGAGTGCCTGCAGTGCTACCTATAGTAACTTGGGTAAGTACCTTCCCTCTGCACAGAACATAAATTGCGGTTTGGTTATTGGCTGAGTTCACAGACTATACTCGGCGGGAACAGTATTAGGCAAAGGTTGTTGGATTTGTTTGTTAAAGTTATATATACTCATAGGTCATGATTTCTGGCAGTTCACAACAATTATGTAGTATAGCAATATCACATTCACAGAAAAATTATAAGTGCATAAAGTTGTTGCTTCTTCACCAGAGCTCCCAGTTTGTCACTTTTCCCTTTTAGAGCCACAGATACGTCGTTCTTCTCCCCTATTCTAGAAGAACAATTGTTATTGAAATAATTGCACATTCTCCCTTTCCTTATCCAGTTCTTCTGCTTCCTTTATTGCTTTTTTATCAGTAGTAAAGTTCTTGGAGCAGGGATATTTTGTGTTCTGTAAAAGGGCTCTGCATGCAATATAAGCAAACCGTAATTGTGGCCATAATTAGGTTGTGTGGAGTATCATACTTTAGTTTGAGAAGTGATTTGCTAAACCAGCTTGGCTTGCCATATGGGATTGCAACTTCCCGCATCTCCAGTCAGCAAGGCAAACAGCTTTCTTTCAGTTAATCTCTGTTCAGCAAAATACATTCTTCAAAATAGTATCATACGAAAAAGATGGGGCTTGGCAAAAAAATACTGCTTTGGGGAAGACAGGATTACAAGGCATGAAAGGAATGTATAGGGGAAAAACACCCAGTACATGTGCTGCCGAGTTCAAGGGAAGGCTTTTCAGCTGAATTGAGAGCATAACTGGTGAGATGTGCAAAGAAAAGAGCTACATTATCCATCCTGGGTGAAGACCACAACGCTTCCTTTTAATGCAGTACATATAGAGGCAAAAAGTTGAGATGTGTGCTAGTCACTTTTTGAACAATATTATAGGATTCAGTTCCAAATATTAGATCAGGGATCCCCAAACTTGGCCACTTTAAGACTTATGGACTTCAACTCCCAGAATTCTTGGAGTTGAAGTCCACAAGTCTTAAAAGGGGCTCCGTATGAAGACCTCTGTATTAGATTGTCATAGAGTAATGTTTAGCTGCATACAGCTATTAGAAGAAGGTGACATAACTTATGTGGTACATTTAAGCTACATTCTGTGTAAAGCAAATACGTTTTGCATCTTCAAAGCAATAATGCACAATAGTACATGGTAGTAATTGTAATCTTATTTGATATTCTCCCATTAGGAGGAAAGCACAGGGGTTTGTTATAAAAAGTATTCTTATTTCCTAGCCAGCTATCTAACTGTAAAATGCTGATGTATACTGGTGCACACTATTGAGTCATCAAAAAAAATAATTGTTATTCCACAGGGCAATCCAGAGCAAAAATGATGCCTCCAAAGCGTCCCCGGCAACTCAAAGGAGCTTTGGAGGACGCCATAGTATTTGGGGGAATATCCGATCCAGAAATATCAGCCATCTTCCACCCCACCCCACCTCCCCTGCCAAAGAAGACCATTTTGAGAGCGCACACCGAACCACTCCCGAAGGACCTCCAGAAGCAGGCTGTTGAAAGTAGCCTCTGTGTGATGGCTAACCCTACCTATGACATCAACACCAACTGGGAAGGAAGCAGCATCTGCTCTTCTGTCAGCTCAGATTTCAAGGCAGTGGACAATGAATCCGGGGATTCTCTGGGCAGAGCCCCAGAAAAGGCAATTCCATCTACCACCAACCTTGCCGCTATCAGTATGAAGAGCAGTGGTTCCACCAGCATGGAGTCCGTCTCCGTTAGGCCTGTTGCCCACAGTAAGCAGGGCAAAGCGGGCCCAAAGCCCCATCAGCTTTATAGAGGCATTGAAAACAGGGAAGAGGTCGTGAACAAGATCAGAAGCCTCCACGCAGATTCACTGAAGAAACTGTCGGCCAGATGTGAGGATCTTTTTATGGCCGGGCAGAAAAATCAACTTCGATTTGGGGTAGACAGTTGGTCGGACTTCAGATTAACCAGCGACAGGCCATGCTGCGAGGCAGGAGACGCTGTATACTACCCTGCTTCTTACGCGAAAGATTCACTCAACAATTATGCAGTCAAGGTAATGAAGATCTTTCAGTAAGAGCCATTCTGCTGCTAGGTTTAATTGCTTTTGTTAGCATTCTGTATATAAGCTCCTGCAACAAAGCCCTTTTTATAATTTTTATATTCCATGTGTTTACAGGACGTTCCCAGGAAAAGCCTTCCAGTAGGCCTTGAAAGATGAATTCCTTCTTTTTAATGTGAATAATTTGACATTGACTCTCTAGCTGCTTGGTTTATTTCTATTACAAATTGTTTAATTGTAATATAAATAGTTTTCTTGTTACTATTTGGTTTCTACAAAATATGCATGAGAGAGGGATAGATTGTAGCAGATAAAGAAGATGTTGCCTTAGTACCATCAGCTTCAGCAAATACAATAACATTGCTGACTTAGTCTCCTTTTCTGCTCAGCCTCTTCAGAATCTTTTATGGATCACTTTTCAATAGCTGCTTTTCTTTATTTGTATAAAGGCACAGGGTCGATGTGTTTTCAAATAACGGTTTTTCATTAACTGACTTGAAACCTAGTTTTCTTTTCATTCTTTTTTTATCCCCCCTGCCTTCAGATTTGTAAGAGCAGAGCTAAAGAATCCCAGCAATATTACCACAGTTTGGCCATTCGCCAGAGCTTGGCTATTCATTTCAACATACAGCAGGATTGTGGCCACTTTCTGGCAGATGTACCTGTTCGTCTCCTTCCATGGGAAGATCCCGATTCAGCTGAAGAAGAGGATGAGGCTGAACAGAAGAGCGAAGAGAGCTCCTCTCCATTGGACAATTCCCAGGACAGTCCAGGTCCCCAAAGTATCTTCACTAAGCAGCGCAGCAGAGTTGTTGTTATTACCCGGGAGGTTCCCTACCTATCAGTGGCCGATTTTGTGCAAAGTTCTGTGGAGCACCACTCTAGATGTCCCGATCTGTACGAAAGACAAGTGTGCCTACTACTCTTACAGTTGTGTTCCGGTCTAGAGCACCTAAAACCCTATCACATCACCCACTGCGATCTGCGTTTGGAGAATCTTTTGCTGGTAGGCTGTCGGGCAAGCAAAAGCCTTCTGAACCCTGACCTGGCGGAGCTCAACCCCGGTGCTGCTTGCCCCACCCGGCTTTTGGTGAGCAATTTCTCCCAAGCCAAGCAAAAGAGTCACATGGTGGATCCGGAGATTCTGAAGGACCAGTCTCGCCTTGCCCCAGAAATCATCACCGCCATGCAGTATAAGAAATGTGACGAATTCCAGACTGGCATCCTCATTTACGAAATGTTGCACCTGCCCAACCCTTTTGATGAGAATCCAGAGCTGAAAGAGAAGGAATACACTTGGGCTGACCTACCCCAAGTCCCTCGCCGGTCACTTTATTCCCTGGGGCTTCAGAAGCTGGCTGCTTGCCTGCTGAACCCCAACCCATCCGAAAGGATCCTGATATCTGAGGCCAAGAGCGTCCTCCAGTGTTTGCTTTGGGGTCCTCGGGAGGATTTGTTTCAGAGTCTCAGGGCCTCTACTAAACCTTCCCAAAGGGAGGCCGTGCTCCAAAACTGGCTGGACATCAAACGGACCCTGTTGATGATTAAGTTTGCCGAAAAGTCTTTGGACAAGGAATGTCAAGTCAGCCTTGAAGACTGGCTTTGTTGTCAGTATCTGGCTTTTGCCACTATAGACTCGCTCAGTCGCATAGTGAAAATTATGCGACAGCATTAGTTTCCTAGGAGTGGTTTCTTCACTTGGATAAGCCCAAATCCTTTCCTTGGCTCAAGTTTCATGCTGGGTTAACATTCTTATCTAGGTCTTGAGGTCACCAGCACTGAGCAAACAGATTTCGACAGGAAGTTCCATTTCCAGTCTTGCACGCATGGGAGAGGTCTGAAAACCATCACACCACTGTGAGTGGGCGAGGAAGGTGAAAAGGTAGTAAGGAAGCCATTTATTTCTGTTACGCCTGTTCTGAAGCAGACTTGCTATAATGACTGCGAACAGAACTGAGTCAGCACCAATCGAGCACCAAAATCTTTTTTTTAAAAAGACCTCCCGACCCTGTGATCTTTGTCAGCTTATCCCAGTTTTTAATCCAACTTACTAGACACATTTACTGGATGCATAGCTTTTACAGGATTTGGGGGGGAGAGTCACATTCTTGATTTAGGAGAGAGAGAGAGAGAGAGAGAGAGCAGTGATTTAATGGTTCTCACTGCCCCCTGAATAATTATCTTTCTCTACAACAGGAAAAAAAACAGGTTATAGAATTGAGGGATGAAAGAATAGGGGTAGTTTTCCCACTCAGATTTAGCCCCTGTCCACACCCTCTCCCTGAGTTCTCTTTGTAAATGTATTTTTCCTTTGTCATTTTTTTATTTGATTTTTCAGATTTAATCATCATCTCAATATACTGCCAACTACTTCCTTCAATGGAGTGAGCAGGATTATTGATGAAATGTTAACATAATGTTGCTAACTATGTGCAGCATAAGAACCTAAGGGCAACTGAACCCCTCACGTATTTTTTAAAAAACCTGTCCTTGTATTATCCAGTTGATGTATATATTAATTCAAGGGCTGGTTGGTTTTTTTAAAAGTATTCAGTATTGCACTGCCATTTTCCAAAGTGAAAGCCAGCTCTGCTGACAGCTGCAAATGTTTCTTAAAGCTCAGCTTGGTGTGATAAGTAAGCTGCACAGCTAAATATAGGCTTTCCACAGGCATGGTTCTGGGAAGGAAGTGGTCACAGGCGCAAATATACTGTGTGAGTTCTCTGAGAGCTGATTGTTTGGGCAGACACAATTAAATTGTGCCCCATTGCAGCTTCCTTTGGAATTGACCTCATAGCTGCTATCAGGGTTTTTAAGTGATTACTTTCGAAATTCCAAAATTGTAGAGATATCACTGACTTATTGATTCTGAAGATGTTTTTGCACATGAAGGTGACTTTAATAGAGAAATATAACTGCCTGAAGGTGTGTTTGGCCTTTAGACCTCTCTCCTGACTTCCTGAACCCATCACGCTGGCCTTTTCCTGCAGAGGCAGCTTAATCCCACTGTATCTAATCTGTCTGCTCAGTATGGTTAGGGTTGCTTGAATTAGCTCTGAAACGGTGGAGCTGCTGACCAGTATTGAATTCCCAAATCTGGGGATGTATGTTGGAACATGGATAGCTCTTGTGTTGAGCCTGTGCTTCTCTTCTGGATATATGTGCAATTTTTGGATATATTATATGAAAAACTGTTTATGTTTACGTTACATGACAGATGTAACCATATATTAGACCTGCCTTCTCTCTTTTTTTTTTCTTACAAGGCACATAGATGCACAAAGTTGTGTGTTCCTTCTATGGATTGATGTTTCTGTTTCTTTATCGTTAAACTGTGACTGATGTGTTTACTTCAGCCTTTGAGACAAATAGCCACTTTGAACAGAATATTGCAGGTTTGGACCAGAAATTAAAAGATAATCTGCAGAAACTACTTCTGACTCTAGGCTCATGGAGTAGAATGTGGCCCCTCACTTAATGGAAACTGAGCCCACATGGAATATGTGGTGGCTTCTTAAAATGTTTGAAATCTTTCTGCTTCCATATCACATTGGAGAAAGTTCAACTAGAATTCAGGACAATGTGTGTGAATGTTTTATTACTTTAAAACAAAAGTGCAAAAATTGTTTGCATGTGAAGAGCCAGACACACCGGCCCCTAGACTCTGAGTTGTGGGTGTTGTACAATTGACCACCAAAACAAGCATTTGCTATGAGTGCGCTACAGAATTGTTCAGAGAGTCAAAAGCATGAATTATGGTCCTGCTTGAAATAATGAAAAGTGACTATATACACTTTTGTGAGTGTACTTTGCTCACAGCCTGCTGCCTGCTCTTCACGCTGGGCTTTTTCTCCAATTAGGTATGCTTCTAATTGATATCTGCATGTACATAAACATTCATTTAGCTTACTTACTTACCACCATGGTAGGCTATATTCCGTAAGGCCACTTTACATAGTTTTTGCGTGTAAGATAATTGCATTGTGTCCCTCTCATGTTGATATAACCTGTAAAATAGACTATTGAATGTTTTAAGATGGCCATGCATATTTTATGCAGCAGCTCCCAAATGTCATATGTTATCTTTCAGATATTATTAGCATTGTGCACTCCATTCAAGCAGAGGTATGTGCTCACTGCCATCTCTTCTTTATATAATAGTAGCTGAACTTTGAAAATGAAGGATAATAATGCGATTGCTCTGTATCAGTGAGTATTTGTGTGTGCGAGTGTGATAGAGGGAGGGAGGGAAGGGAGATGCAGAGGGATATAGTACATAAAGATACAATATAGCCGAAGCTTCCAGGTTTGATGGATCCTGGGACCACTTTTGCAAACAATCCTATTGAAACCCAGTTGCCATATGGATATTCTGCCATTTAAGAGATCAGCCAGTCCAAACCCATTAGACAAATAATAAACTGGGAAAAAATGTTGCAGTATCATTTCTGAACAAAATGAAATTCCTCCTTAATTCCTCCTAATTAGCTGCTGTGATCATAAAGCATTAACTTAAATATAAAAAGATACTTTTACTACATTTTAAATACATGTGTTAATGGAGTGCAAGGGATTGTGATTTTCAAATAGCCATACTGACTGTAAATAGATATTTTTCTTACATAGATATATTTACAAATTGTAAATATATTTTTTGGAAAGCTGCTGCTAAATTTATATTAGCACAATACCTACAATTTTCCTAATGGCAAACAAGAATTATCTGAAATTCATTTTAAATTTAAACATTTGAATACATCTTTCCTGGAACAGTGTCATTAATCTTTTCTGGGGTGGCAGCCCGGATCAGTAATTAAGTGTGCTAAGAACATTGCCTCATCACAGATATAAAGCTATTAAAAGGAGAATTCTGTGGTGGGAATTACCCAGTGCCTGCTACCGATTTAATAATAAAGCCTATATTTAAAAAAAGAGAATAAAATTACCTGTTCTGCATGAAACCAACAATCTCACCAAAAGAGCACTATTTGGTTATGTTAATTCAAGAGTTCTATTGACATCATTGAAAAAGAAAATGAAATAGTAGCATCTTCCAAATCTGCAATTTCTATAGAATAAAGCAAGACACGGTTTTAAAATTGTCTAGGTAAAATAAAACTGGGGAAATTGATTCCATTTTTCAGATGGCAACCAATAGGGAAGACTAACTGCTGCTAATGCTGTTAAAGACGGATCAGGCCTTTATCTTATTTACACAGTGCTGTAAAACCTAAAATGTGGAGAGCAGCAAAGTTCAAAGAAGTGGCAAAATATTCAGAAGAAGCTGGAAGGAGAAAACTTGGGAGTCATTAACACCTTTTCAATATTAACCAGGCCTGGCTGGGTCTCCTTCCCGAAATGTGTTAAATGAGGCTTACAATCTGCCTCGAGTGATTAATTATGTAGCAATTTTTATGTCTCCCAACCTGTTGCCCTGTTCAAGCATAGCCTTCCCCATATTGATGCCAAATCCCAGAATCTCTGGCCAGCATGATATTAGTTTTAGAAAAACTGCTCCATCCCAATCAAGAAACGGCTCTCAGGATAGAGATACACGTGAGAGTATAATTGTTTCTAAATGGCTTTGTTCTTAGCTTCTGTCTAGCACTCCAGTGCTCCCCAAAACCCCGTCCTTACAAAGGAACAGATGTAGTCTTGGAAGTATGGAATTGGAGAACTGAACATGGAAATAGTAGCATCTCTTCCATTAGAACCCCCCTCCCCTGCCCTATAAATACTCTGCCTTTAATAATAGCACACATTTTTGCAAGTATGTTTACACACTTAAAGAACAGGTAGTCCTGGACCACAATTGAGCCCAAAATGTCTGTTGTTAAATGAGACAGTTGTTAAGTGAATCAAAACAGTTGATAAGTTAGCAATCCGGTTGTTGAGTGAATCTGGCTTCCCCATCGACTTGCTTGTCAGAAGGTTGCAAAAGGGGTCATATGACCTTGTGACACAGCAGCGTTCACAAGAAAAAAAAGGCATAAAGTCAACTGAGTGACCAGTCATTCTCAGTGCTAGGAAGGAGACAATAGCAAACAGCCTCCGAAAACTGCTGGGACTTGTCCAGGCAAGTCTTTGAAACACAATTGAATGAAAGGGGGGGGGGGAGCATGGGAGGGGAATTGCCTTGTTTTCTCCCATTCTACAAATGAATGTACTTAGAAGTGCATTGTGAATCCTCTAATCTGCGATTTTACTGATTTGAGCTACGCTTAAAAACTATTTGTATTGTAAGATTGCCACCCCTATGCCCAGGAACTTTATTGAAAAGTATTAATTCCTAATGATATTCTACCCTAACATTTCCCTTTCCATCCAACTTCCTGTTGGAAAGCTGTTTGCTACGATGCTTGAAGCGAGGTAGAACAACAGATGGAGGTTGGGAAAACTTGTCACTGAGCTTGTTCCAGTGTGCTTCCGTTAGCTTTGCACCGATTCCGGCTTCCAGTTCCTTGACTGTTCCTCAAGTCCTGGAATTAAGAAAGTTTGATATATATTTTAATAATGGAAGGAAATTATTGAGTGTCTATATTTTTATAAATGAATTCTACTGAACTACAAGCATAATCCAATTGGGTTTTATGCTAAGTGTATTATATATTTGAATATACGTTTCTTGAATTTTAAAAATTCACATAGTAGGCCTCTCTTTCCAGGGGTTTGGAATAGGCACCTCCAGAATCCCGCTGAACCTTCCTTATCCTGATGCTCAGAGATGCTGGAGCTGCCAGCTGGGGAATCTGTGATTTGTAGTCCCAACCAAGCTGGAGGCTTCAGGCTGAGGAAGGTCTATTCTATAGAGCAAACTCCTATGCCAGCCTGCAGTTTGGTACATATTGTTACTCATGCAGATGGGCCTTTTCCAAAATGATCTTTCCAATGTACCATTTGTTGACTTGAATTCAGACTTGGAAAGGTTTTTTATCCTGAGGTGATTCTCTGCGTGTGATTTTTTTTTTAATTAACTACACTGAGCAGTATGTGGAAAGATCTGTTTTACTTTTATTTGGGAAGACAAAGTATTTTCAGTCAAAAATTCCTATTCAAATCCAGTTTTATATGGTATTTCTTTTCCAGTGCCTCAAGGATGGGGAAGGTTCTGTGCCCCTTCAGCAAATCATTGTATTTGGAGTTCACTGCATTGCTCTGTCGGGTGCTTCATCATAATTTATATTTATCCATTCTTATAGCTATGTTATACCGTTTTTGTGTTCAGACGGCAGTTACACTTTGCTGTGGTACTTTGCAGTGTACTCTGTGACATACATGTTATTATGTAAATAAACCAGTTTTATTACACTGAAAAATCCAGGCATAGCATTCCTTTCATTTTCTTATCTTGATGATTTTAATATAAAGAAATTTAAACCCCTATGCAAAGCTCTATTCTTTTACTGATTCCTCAGTTAAAACATACAAAGAACTTTTCATATCCCATTTCCTCAATCCTGGTGTCCTTTATGTGATAGAACCCTGGCTGGAAAAAAGCCTCTTGCTTGCATATAGAGGTAGTCCTTGTTTAGCAGCTACAATTGGGGCCAGCAACTCTGTTGCTACGGGAAGCAATCACTAAGTGAAACTGCAACTGTATTTATAATCATCTGCTTTACAGCCCTGTGAAGTTGTAAATGCGAGGCTTGGTTGCAAAGTTATTTTATTGTTACTGTCACAACTGCAAATGGCTGCTAAAAGACGACTACCTTACCTTTGCATGATAGCCATTAATGTCTGGTGATTAATATGTTGCTCTAGGCTCCCATCTTCCTGTAGCATTCATTGAATAGCTCACTCTTGACTCACATAGTGGGGAGGGGGGGTTGCTATTCCTGTGGTGAGGAAATAAGAAATTCCCATCATTTAAGTCCCAAAGAAATGGCCAGATATAAGAACAACAACTATATTATGCTTAGTTATTC